CGGGGCTGCATGCCGGACGAGGAGAGCAGTGACGGGGAATCCGACGATGAGGTGAGGCAGTCGGAGGCGTCCCTAGCGCCGGGCGGGGCGGAGGCCGGGGGCTTCCAGGGGTCGGGGTGGCCCCGAGGGGTGACGTGGGGAAGCGGGGTCCTCAGGGCACCTGCGGAGGGAAGGGGCCTTGGAAATAGACTTGGGAGGAGCTGCACGGAGCTGTCGGTGGAAGGGGCCTCTGAAAGTGGGTAGAGAAGCCCGGGCTGCAGCTGGGCACTGGGGCCCGAGACGGGTCCTGCTGAAGAGTCCTGGGTTGAGCCTTCTTGGTAGTTGGCAAAGCCGCGGCAGCAGAGGCTTGGGCGAGGAGGCTGCGGGGACTGCATGTCCACCCGGTGGTGGTTGACAGCAGCAGCGTGGCTTTAGTGGACCGAGGTAGGGCTCTCTGGGCTCTTACCTGTAGGCTGCCCCGCCCGGCTTCATAACCTGTGCCACATCCCTGGTTTCGTCAGTGCCCCAATTCTTCTTCTCACCTAAAGTAGATAAAGGGTAGAGTGGTGGAGGGCTTTCTCTTGGGAGTACAAACTCAAGAGAAATGGAATGAAGGCTGAGACTGGGCGCTCTAGCAGGTCGGAGTTCACCTCAGGATTTATCCCCAGCCTTTCAGAAGAGGCAAGAAGGTGTGGGTTGTATCACTTAGGACAGTTTGTAGCCACCAGAGTGTTCAGGGTGGATCCTAATATGATCAACCATTTGATAGACACAGACACTCTGTTTGGGTACCCCTATTCCCATCTTGATGTAAGAAAAAACTGCAACCTGAGATAGTGTAAACGGAGGTCTCACTTTTATCTGAGTTGGAATATGAGAGAATCTAAGGGTAGTGCCTACTGCCTGGCCTGAGAAGACCCTGTTCTGTTCCCTTCTGGGACAGTGAACCACTGATGGCTGTGGTGGTGTGGTCTGGCACAGGGCATGGGGGTTCAAAATGCCCTGTGCTTCCATCCCTAGGGAGAGACCCTGTTTTCTAGCTCCGCCCCCCGCCCCCCACCATCCAATCCTTTCAGCTCTTTTGTAAATAGCAGGGGGATGTTAGGGGGAAATCTGGGGATATTCCTCAATACCTGAGACTCAGGTGGAAAGAGGGCTTTGGCACTGACTGCTGTTTCTCCCCTCCACCCCTGGTCCCCTAAATCAGGAGTTTCAGGGTTTTCATTCAGATGAAGATGTGGCCCCCAGTTCCCTGCGCTCTGCGCTCCGATCCCAGCGAGGTGAGTGACGGGGAAACTCTACCTCTGTAGCTTTACAGGAATGTTATTCTCGCTCTTCATGTCAGCTCTTCCCTGTTCCGCTAGAGTCTCCATCAGTTATGGAGTGTGTTCTGTGTTCAGAGCTCAAGCTAGGCTGGGCTGTGGGGGAAACAGACAAGACTTAGTCCCTGGCCTCCTGGAGAGCCTTTTTCAGTCTGCAGGGCTAGCTTGACCCATCTCCCCACACCTATTCTCCTTTTAGGTCGAGCCCCCCGAGGTCGGGGCCGCAAGCATAAGACGACCCCCCTTCCGCCTCCTCGCCTAGCAGATGTGGCTCCTACCCCCACAAAGACTCCTGCGCGGAAACGGGGTGAGGAGGGCACAGAACGGATGGTGCAGGCACTGACTGAACTTCTCCGGCGGGCCCAGGCACCCCCAGCCCCCCGGAGCCGAGCATGTGAGCCCTCCACCCCCCGTCGGTCTCGGGGACGGCCCCCAGGACGGCCAGCCGGCCCCTGCAGGAGAAAGCAACAAGCAGTAGTGGTGGCAGAAGCAGCTGTGACAATCCCCAGACCTGAGCCCCCACCTCCTGTGGTCCCAGTAAAACACCGAACTGGCAGCTGGAAGTGCAAGGAGGGGCCAGGCCCAGGACCTGGGACCCCCAAGCGTGGAGGACAGTCTGGGCGAGGAGGTCGTGGAGGCAGGGGCCGAGGCCGAGGCGGGCTCCCTCTCGTGATCAAGTTTGTTTCAAAGGCCAAAAAAGTGAAGATGGGACAGTTGTCCTTGGGACTTGAATCAGGTCAGGGTCAAGGTCAACATGAAGAAAGCTGGCAGGATGCCCCCCAAGGAAGAGTTGAGTCTGGACAGGGAGAGGGCCCCTGCTGGAGGAAGGAGCAGAAGCTGGAGGAGGAGGGAAAAGAGGAGGAAAAAGAAGAGAAAGACAAGGAGGAGGAGGAAGAGAAGGAAAAGAGAGCTGTAGCTGAGGAAGAGATGACGCTAGCTGAGGACAAGGAAGAGGCAAAGCTGCCATCGCCACCCCTGTCTCCTCCAGCCCCTCCACCTCCACCACTCCCACCCCCCTCCACATCTCCTCCATCCCTACTTTGCCCTCCCCCACCCCCAGTGTCCCCTCCGCCCCCACCATCCCCTCCACCTCCTCCACCCGCTCCTGCCCCAGAGGAGCAGGAGGAATCCCCTCCTCCTGTGGTCCCAGCCACGTGCTCCAGGAAGAGGGGCCGGCCTCCCCTGACTCCCAGCCAGCGGGCAGAGCGGGAAGCTGCTCGGGCAGGGCCGGAGGGCACCTCTCCTCCCACTCTAGCCCCCAGCACCACCACCACGGGAGGCCCTCTAGAAGACAGCCCCACTGTGGCTCCTAAAAGTACCACCTTTCTGAAGAATATCCGGCAGTTTATTATGCCTGTGGTGAGTGCCCGCTCCTCCCGCATCATCAAGACACCCCGACGATTTATGGATGAAGATCCCCCCAAACCCCCAAAGGTGGAGGTCTCGCCTACTCTGCGGCCTCCAGTTGCCATCTCCCCACTTGCCCCCCAGGAACCAGCACCAGCTCCCTCTCCACCACGTGCCCCAACTCCTCCATCTACCCCAGTGCCACTCCCTGAGAAGAGACGGTCCATCCTAAGGGAACCCACATTTCGTTGGACTTCCCTGACCCGGGAACTGCCCCCTCCTCCCCCAGCTCCACCGCCGGCCCCACCCCCACCTCCTGCCCCTGTCACTCCATCCCGGAGGCCCCTGCTCCTTCGGGCCCCTCAGTTTACCCCAAGTGAAGCTCACCTGAAGATCTACGAATCGGTGCTTACTACTCCTCCTCTTGGGGCCCCTGAAGCCCCTGAGCCAGAGCCTCCTCCCGCTGATGACTCTCCAGCTGAGCCTGAGCCACGGGCAGTGGGCCGTACCAACCACCTCAGCCTGCCTCGATTTGCCCCTGTGGTGGCCGCTCCTGTTAAGGCTGAGGTGCCCCCTGCTGCAGTTCCAGCTCTGAGCAGTGGGCAGCAGCCTCAGGCTCAGCTACAGCAGCCTTTGCAGGCCTTGCAAACCCAGCTGCTGCCCCAGGCCCTACCACCACAGCAGCCACAGTTACAGCTGCAGCCACCGCCACCACCACAGCAGCCACCACCCCTGGAGAAGACGCGGATTGCTGGCCTGGGTTCCTTACCACTGTCTGGTGTGGAGGAGAAAATGTTCAGCCTCCTCAAGAGAGCCAAGGTGCAGCTGTTCAAGATCGACCAGCAGCAGCAGCAGAAGGTGGCTTCTTTGATGCCGGTGAGCGTGACGCTTTGGCCAAGCCTCAATTCTCTGCAACCCCTTAACCTCCTGCCTCCCTGGACACCTTCCAGCATTGCGG